GCTGTTGAAACTGATCAGCAGCTGATTCCAGGAAGCCCGGGGCAGAGCAACTCTGCCTGGGGCTTCCTGTAGTCAGCCGCTGATCCATTTCAGCAGCGGCCGAATCTGGAGCCAGTTCCAACTTACGTACAAATTCAACTCTACAAACCTACAGTCCCTATCTTGTACGTAACCCGGGGACTGCCTGTACTTGAGGACTGGGTTTTAGAGGCCCCCTGCCTCAGTTTCCCCACCTGTGACCTGGGCATGGCAGCAAGGCCCTCCCTGCCAGGACATGGGAGGGGCTGGCCCACTCTGCATGGGGCCAGAGCAGCACCTCAGTGAGGTAAATATTGACATGGCTGGAGAAGTGACATGCTCCATCAAGCCCCAACCCTCCAAGGCACTGAGGCCCCTACCTCCCCATGGGAGACAAGGGGAGTTAGGCACCTAGGAGGGGCTGAGCCTTAGGTTTCAGACGAGGCTTTGGTCCCGAGGGTGCAAGTACTGAGAAGACAGGAGAACCAGGGGAGGGTAGCAGTAAAACAGGCGAAGAGCCCGTAGGCCGTGGATCAAACCCCTCACCCCGCAGAAGGTCCCCCACGTACTCCTGGGAGAAGGGGGGTGCTCTGAAAAATGTTACCGAGGGCACTGCACTGCCCACAGCACTGGGGCAGGGAGCCACCCTGCCTCGGGACACCCCCCTGCACAGCTGTCCTAGAACGAGTCCCCTCCATTCCAGTACAGCCCTACGCCAGCCCCCCTCCGTACCGACTCTCCCAGCTCAGGGGAGCGCCGCACCACGACAAGTTCCCATGAAAATACTTTGACTTCAGCTAGCTGAAGCTGTGTAGCTTAGCAGGGCCTTGGTTGCACTAATTTGAATTGTGGGGCGCTCACTCCGTTCCACCGCCCTGCCTTCGTGGGAGCAGGGCTACCGGAGTGCCCCACAATTCAAATGTGCAGGTCTTCACTCACTTGAACCCTGGAAGAGCCACAGTGCAGCTTCGATCTGCTCTGAAGTGTGGACCTACCCGGGCTGGTTGTTAGCTAGAACAAGAGGCTCCCAGTGCCTGGAGGGAATAGCCCTGGGGTGGATTTAGGATTCTGTGGCTGTCCATTACTCACTGTCACCCCTTCTAGGTGTTGGCCAACCCTTACAGCCTTGTCCCCCGGGAAGATGTGCATTACTGGACTGACCTCTCCGTACGCTGCTTTGTGAACTCACCGAGTCAAGCTTTCTGAATCCGAGTAGAGGAAGAATTCACCCAGACATCTGTATTTGATGCTCCTGAATTTACTGCTGCCTGTGCCTTCTGGAATAGCAGCAGAAACTCAGCATGTCAAGTCAGGTCGCAGTTCCCTTGAACTAACGTGTTTCAGAGGGGTAGCCATGAGGTTCTGCTTCTACAAAGACACAGCATCCAGTGATACCTTTATGACATAGCGGGGGTGAGGTCTACTTTCGTAATCCTAAGTTTGCTCTGGTGTTGCATTTACCGTTTGTCTTAGGGGGTTATACGTGATCCTAGGGGGTTAAGAACATAAGATTTGATCTTACCGGCCTAAGATGTTCTGTAGTGATGTTGTGTGGGGGTGGGTGCCTCAGTTTGCCCAGAATAGTGATAGAAATGTAGCCGTGTTAGTCTGGTGTAGCTGAAACAAAATACAGGATTATATAGCACTTTAAAGACTAACAAGACAGTTTATTAGGTGATGAGCTTTTGTGGGCCAGACCCACTTCCTCAGATCAAATAGCGGAAGAAAATTGTCACAACCATATATACCAAAGGATACAATTAAAAAAGGAACATATGAAAAGGACAAATCAAATTTTCTTCCACTATTTGATACTTTGGCAAAGGATCAATGCCCACAAAACAGATATTAGACAGGATCACAAAGAAAAAACAGTTTGCCATTTCAACCAGGAAGGACACCGTCTCAACAAATTAATTACCTGCGTCCTGCTTCAGAAGCCTTTTAAATCTTCAGAGGATTCCCTTTCAAGTGCACTGTCATTCATGCAAAAATTCGACACTCTACGCGTGGGTCTCAGCAAAGACCCTAGCTACCTTACCCATTACAAAGATAGCTTCCCCAATTAACACCTCTAATACCATCAGCTCACAGACATTTACCTCCCCTTCCCCCCGCATCCCCCTCCTGTTCTGAAATGTGATTTGTCCTTTTCATGTGTGTTCATTTTTTTAATTGTATCCTTTGGTATATATGGTTGTGACTAGTTTCTTCCACTATTTGATCTGAGGAAGTGGGTCTGGCCCACGAAAGCTCATCATCTAATAAACCATCTTGTTAGTCCTGTATTTTGTTTCCCCAGGCTCTGCAGCTCTAATTGCATGAGGGGAGGCTGGGTGGGACTCACTGGGGAAGTACGGGAGTCATCTCACCTCCTGAGGCCCAGGTGACACCTTGGAGCTGGAGGGAGGGCAGTGGAGGACGGGGGCTGCTTGGGGCAAGTGAGCAGTGGCTGGGGGGGCAGGGGGAGATGAGGCAGTCTCGGCTGGGCTAGGAGGAGTGAGGATGTTAAGGAAGGGGGTGAAGCCCCTTCCCCACAGAGGACTAAGGCTCTGCCCTGGCTCCTCTGTTCACATCACTCCTAATCGACCCTGTGTCTGGGAGCCAACAACCCTTCTACTCTACCGGCTGGCTGAGTCAGCTTGCTGTGGATGGGGGTGCAGGGTCGGGGGGTTCCCCACCACGTGGTCACAACCTTACAGGCCACGTTAGGTCACGAGCTTTCATGGTTTGAAGCATCTCATGGAGCAGGCTCCAGCCCACAAAAGCTTCTGCCCAAATAAGCACGTTGGTCTTCAAGGTGCCACCGGCCCCCTTGTTGCGTGTACAAACAGGTATGGAAAAGCCGGCGAGGCGGCTGGCTCCCGTGGAAATCCCACCCCGGTTTGACCAGAAAGAGCGGAACGAGAGACGGTTGCAGGTAAGAATTTATTCAGATCTGGCCAGCAGAGATGACCACGCAGATGAGCCACGTTCAGATGTTCCAGCAGGAACGAGGCGAGTCCGGCCGGCAGTGTCTCTAGCAGCAAGATGGTCACGTAGCTCAGTGACATGTCACCCCAGCTACCGTCACCCCTGAAAGTCGGAGCAACGCCAGGCTAAGGCCTAGAGCAAGTGTTGAAATAATCTTCTCCCTCCTCCGCCGTTTCCTCCTCCTCCTCTGTGGAATCCCTGCCCACCTCCTCGTAGTCCTTCTCCAGTGCAGCCATGTCCTCCCGGGCCTCAGAGAACTCCCCCTCCTCCATGCCCTCCCCCACGTACCAGTGCACGAAGGCCCGCTTGGCGTACATCAGGTCGAACTTGTGGTCCAGCCGGGCCCAGGCCTCCGCGATGGCCGTGGTGTTGCTCAGCATGCAGACGGCCCGCTGCACCTTGGCCAGGTCCCCGCCCGGCACCACCGTGGGCGGCTGGTAGTTGATGCCCACCTTGAAGCCGGTGGGGCACCAGTCCACGAACTGGATGGAGCGCCGGGCTTTGATGGAGGCGATGGCGGTGTTGACGTCCTTGGGCACCACGTCCCCCCGGTAGAGCAGGCAGCAGGCCATGTACTTGCCCCGGCGCGGGTCGCACTTCACCATCTGGTTGGAGAACTCAAAGCAGGCGTTGGTGATCTCCGGCACCGAGAGCTGTTCGTGGTAGGCCCTCTCCGCCGAGACGATGGGCGCGTAGGTGGTGAGGGGGAAGTGGATGCGGGGATAGGGCACCAGGTTGGTCTGGAACTCCGTGAGGTCCACGTTCAAGGCGCCGTCGAACCTCAGGGAGGCCGTGATGGACGAGACGATCTGGGCGATCAGCCGGTTCAGGTTGAGGTAGGAGGGGCGCTCGATGTCCAGGTTCCGGTTGCAGATGTCGTAAATGGCCTCGTTGTCCACCATGAAGGAGCAGTCTGAGTGCTCCAGCGTGGTGTGGGTGGTCAGGATGGAGTTGTAGGGCTCCACCACCGCCGTGGAGACCTGGGGCGCAGGGTAGATGGCGAACTCCAGCTTGGACTTCTTGCCGTAGTCCACGGAGAGACGCTCCATGAGCAGGGAGGTGAACCCCGAGCCAGCGTGGTGTGGGTGGTCAGGATGGAGTTGTAGGGCTCCACCACCGCCGTGGAGACCCGCGGGGCAGGGTACACCGAGAACTCCAGCTTGGATTTCTTCCCGAACTCCACCGAGAGACGCTCCATCAAGAGAGACGTGAATCCCGAGCCCGTGCCGCCACCGAAGCTGTGGAAGACCAGGAACCCTTGAAGGCCGCTGCACTGGTCAGCCTGCACAAATGAAGGACACCGAACTAGCCTTGGTCATGCTGCGCCCACTGGCCCCCGTCTTCTCCCCTCCTCCCCCCCATTACATCACCCTCCAGACATCAGCTCCATGTGTGACCATGACGGGATCCAAGGGATGTTGGGTTATAGGGATACATTGTAATTATGTATGGACATAGTTTGTACTGACAACCTATTGGAGAGCCAAAGAGCCACTGATGTACCTCAATAGATCACCCCCCCAAAACAGGTAGCAGCCACCTGTTCACCTTGGAAGACCGATTAAGTCAACCAGCATATATATAGAACCCGTGCTTTTTTGAGATGGTACTGCCTGGTACACCCTACTGGCACCTTCAGCGGGAGCTTACTTGGAAAGAATGGAGCATACCGGCACCTCTCGACACAAATGTCCAACAGTTGGCTGGGCCACATGTCTTATAGGGGTTGTGTCTCTTAAAAGGGGGATGCCGGCCTTTCCGCAGCTTCTCCCCCTCCTCCCCTGGAGTACCAGCACCATTCTTTTATTTAAGAAAAAACAAAGCGCACTGTGTAGAACCCAGCCTTGGTACCAAACGAGCGAGATGCTGGTTCATGAGTCAGCATGAGGATTTCATCCCAACCCAAGACGGATGGCTGGGCAGGTCAGCTTTCACAGCAGTACAGGCATGTAGCCCCACATCTGTACAACAGCTGGGCAGGCAAATATCGGTGATAGAGCAACCCAAGAAGAGATCCCATGCTTTCAGCAAGTTCCAGCTACAAGAGCCCAGCACACTGGGAGCCAGGTACCAATTCTGACTCGGAGCTCAGCTGTCTAGGCCGGCCAAGACCGGGGCCCGAGCGCGCTACAGGGCTCCTGTCCGTAACGCACCCATGCCAGGCTCACCCAGGGCGCTTTGTGTCCCAGCTGTGGGCAGAGCCGGTCGAGGCTTCGCTGCCTCAGGCCAAGAGGTTCCTGCTCCGGGGAAGGGGGAAGAGGCGGGTCCCCCACTCACCATTTTGCGAGTCCGGTCCACCACGGCGTCGATGATCTCCTTCCCGATGGTGTAGTGGCCCCGGGCGTAGTTGTTGGCCGCGTCCTCCTTGCCGCTGATCAGCTGCTCCGGGTGGAAGAGCGAGCGGTAGGCCCCAGTCCGGATCTCGTCTGTGAGGGAGCAGAGCCGGGATGAAGTCCAAGCTTGCACCAGGAGTCCGTGATACCCACCGTCCGCCCGGCACCACGGCCCTGATGCCAGGTCGTCGGGCTCCTCACTCCCCTGCAAGTCGCCTGCCGTTAGGAGCACCGATAACTCAGTGGATCTGGGCTGGGACAGGCTGGCCAGCACCTGATACCTGCGGTAGGAGCACCGTACCGGAGGCCATTGAGAAATGGGAGGGAAGGCGCCTTCTCTCATCCCAGCGGGCCAGTGATCAACACCGAGATCAACATGGCCTGTGCAGATGTCAGGTCTGAAGGGGTGCTTCCCTCACAGCTGGCAGGAAGGGGAGGAGGGACTGGGGGCGTGTCTATGCAAATAGGCTTTGCTCCAGCATGCTAGCTATTCAGCAGATGGCCAGGGATTTTGCTCACTCAATGTGAGACCCAACGCCAGCTCCGTGGGTTAAATTCAGGGAGGGCTCAAATAGGGCGACCAAGGGTTGTACTGGTGGGGGAATCCAGATGAGCAGGACTGCGCTACTTGGCTCCAAAGAGGGAGGGGCGCTCCCCATCAGCAGAAAGAACTTGGCTAAGTAGGGGTTCGACTTAGAGACCTAGGGGGGACTGGAGGCTGGGTGGCCCTTCTTGCCCCGACTGCTCTGGCCTCCCACCCAGGCAGGTCAAAGAGCCGAGCTCCAGACACACCCTGAAGAGCCTTCGTGTTAGTTGGG